CAAAAAACTGGAGACTTGTCAGCATGTGGGGGGTTGGGCCACCAGCAGGGGCCGCCCCTAGACTGTCTTAGTCTTTTGTGCCTAGCGTCATTCTCCTGCAGGTGGCGATATACACTACGGTACATGATCTACGATCTGTTCCGTGTCCTTCAATGAACGGAAGAGAACGTGAAGTCTTTCATCATAGGGTGAAGCAATCTTCATGGAGGCGTAGGCACATCAAAAGTTTCTTAATCGTGCGTAGGCTTCGAAATGGGACAGAGGATTTGCCGGTGGATGAATACAGGAGAGGATTCAAAAGGCACGTTGAAATCTCCCCGCAGAACAAGCATCCCTTTGAAGAAATCCTTCAGCAGAGAGCAGGCCTTGCGAAGAAAGTGGACCTGGCCAGCATTGGGACAGTAAAGGTTGGCAAAGGTAACCGGGGTATTGTGGAGTTTGCCTTTGAGGAAAAGGTATCGACCCTCCGGGACGATTAGTTGGTCGGTAAGTTGGAAATTGGCGCGGGAGGAGAAAAGAATGGACACCCCTTTAGACTTAGAGTGGGCAAACGTGGAGTGGTACACCGTGGGGAATTTATGATTACAGAGTTTGGGTATGGCATTAGTGTTGAAGTGCGTTTCCTGCAATAGCACTGCTAGGGCTTTGTGGTGCGAGAAAGCCAGAAGAAATTGAGATCTTTTTTTCTGGGATGTTGAGTCATTTGGCATCGATCAATAGGATTTTCCAGGTGATTGGAGCCGTGTGAGGGCAAGAGACGGTGTGCGGGCGTGATGGAGAGGGTGGGGAGATGGAGGCCTGCAGGCAAGGGGCAAGAAAAGTAGGGAAAGAAAGAAAGAAAGAAAGAGGGAAAGAAAGAAAGAAAGAAAGAAAGAAAGAAAGAAAGGGATACAGGCACAGAAGGGACAAAGCACAAAGTAAAGGAAAGAGAAAGAGAAAGGCAAGAGAAAGGCAGCCCGAGAGACAAGGAATATGCACCTTCTCAGAGAAAGGTAAGATGCTGGGCTGATAAGACACAAAACACTTCATGTGATCAGTCTTGTGGGGGTGAAACTGAGGTATAGAACCAAGAAAAACCTTGAGGCACCTGGGCCTCACTGAACCTAGCATAGGGCAAATATCACAAAACGTCAGCAATGATAAAAATAACAAACAGAATTTGGTGGTGGAACAGGGCAGGTGTAGCTTAAGGTCTATCGTTCAACCCCTGCAACAGCAAGAGGGAACGTCCAGGGTTAAGCTGGAGTGCAGGCAGAGACCACATCTAGACAACAACTTTGTAGCAACACATTGTCAAGGGTTAATAATGCAGAGTCAGATAGCCGTGTAAAACATTAACAAGTCTATAATGACAACAAAAAATGAGAACCAACAGCAGAACCTTAACCGGTTCACCAGCATCAATCTTCTGTACCCCTATGGTTACCGGAGGGATCAAGGAGAGGGAGGGGGAAGGGAGAGAGAAGAAAGGCATGTAGCAGCTGGAGAACATCCTACATGCAGGGGATCAGGCGGAGGAGGCAGCTGTGGCCAAAACAGTGGGTGGAAAGCAAAGGAGTGCTGGCCGACATAGGGAATCCGCTCAGGATAGGGAGGACTGAGGAGGCGGAAGGGGTCTGGGTGTAACGGGGGAAAAGGTGTACATCGGAAGTTGTGGCAGTCTCTCATTGAAGAACAGTAGAAAGGCATCATGGCACACTCACAAACCAGCATGTAAAACAACTTGTCTCACCACTAAGGACAATGACAGAGGTTTGGATACACGTCTTCTGCAAAGGATGTGTAAGTGTAAGTTAGTCTCTCATTGAAGGTTCCAGGTAGGAGAGGGATTCATGAGGCGGGGGGGGGGGACGACTGGCAGAGCACACACAGTACCTGAGATTCAGGGTAGGCAGTTCCAGTGGGTGTCCAGGTTCCCGGGTGGGGTCAACGATAGGGGATCATTGGGTAATGTGCCTTGCAAGCCAGCCGGTGGAAAGAGGGCTGATCGTGGGGAGCCCTTGTTCCCAAAGGTAGGTTACTAGTGGGGGAACCTGCCCCGCGTCGATCTGGAACATGCGGCAGCCTGCGTTTCTGGTGAACTCAGGGAGGAGGATGGAGGCAGCCTGTCATGGAGCCGAAACTCTTCATACCACTCCTGGAGGTCGACAAGTGGAATGCAGAGTTGGTCACAGAATCTCCAAGTCCGCCAGGACAGTAATGATAAAAGTGCGGCCAGAGGAGGTGGCTGCAAAGCCAAACGGGAACCGCCATCTATAGCTGATGCCAAACGGGAACCGCCATCTATAGCTGATGCCATGGGAACAGAGGGTTTGCAGCAGAGGTTGGAGAGCCTGGCTGTGTTGCAGGGTAATGTGGGAGAGATCCTGGAACAATTTGACCTCAGCATCTTGGAAAATAATTTGTGGTCTATACCTTCTCTTCAGAGTTTATCTTCCTTCAATCGAAAGTCCACCAGGCAGCACACGACATCGCGAGGAGGGTCAGTGTCTCGACCTTTAGGCTGCAAGGCACGATGAAAGCGCTACACGTTGACCGGCGATTCTGGCGGTTTGTCCAGTAGATCATTAACGATCTGTAGCAGAGTGGATTTCAATTGGTCCAAATCGATAGACTCCGGGATGCGGCTCTCTCAGGTTATGGCGCCGGCCCCGGTTATCCAGATCCTCTAGATGGCCGTGCATCTACAACAAGTGGGCATTGTGAGCGGCAGACATCTGGTGGATACGGTTCAAGGCAGTGGAATGGCGGGAAGTCGTTCTTCGACCAATTGGATGCGGTCGGCTAGAGTGGAGACTGGATTTCAGTTGCGAAATCTCCGCCGGAGAATGTGGATTTGATGTCCAGGGCTATTGAGTTGAGGTCGGACATACGAGGCATCTGTCCCATCAAAGCTAACAGATCCGAGTGCGGCTGGTGCAGGTCAGCCAGGGACTCCCTGTCCGGGCTGCTGTTAGGCGAGTACACCTCAGGGGGAAGATGGCGCCGCTTTCCCCACGTGGCGCTCCGGTGGCTGAGAGCGGAACATCTCTGGGAGGCTGCGACCGGGTTGAGAACTCGCTTCTGAGCTTTGGTCGCCGGGGTATTCTTCCCCATGGCTGCAGTTGTGATAAGCCCAATTAGAAGCTTAAGAAAGGGAGGCCAGGTGCCGGAGAGGGTCTATGCGTCCATCTTGGTTCCGCGCCAGGCCACGTCCCCAGCCCAATCACTTTTAACTCAAAATCTTCCTGCCGCAAATGAATCACAGCAAGCCTTCCTTCTTAATTGATTCCAACTGATAACACTGGGGCAGCTCCACAATGTAGTGAACCTTAACATCTATGTAATTACAAAAAAGGAGAGCGGCCACTCCATGTGAAGGATCGTTTAATAATTTGCTTTAAAAAGTAGAAATGTACTCACGAGAAAAAGTGACAAGCGTATTCAATGGTTCCCATCCTATCGCCCATCAGAAGCCACAGCGCAGCCAGGTCAGCTCACGACCGAAGTCGTCTTCCAGCAGTGAGTGGCCACTGACCTGGCTGCGCTGTGGCTTTTGATGGGCGATAGTCTCCTGTGAGGGGAACCATTGAATGCGCTTGTGTCACTTTCCTCTTGGGAGTACATTTCTACTTTTTAAAGCAAATTAAGCGATCCTTCACATGGAGAGGGCACTCTCCTTTTTTATCATTCCCAATCACTTTTAGTTGGCAGGGAAGCCAGGAGAGCACGTGCATCTACTTCCATTCCACCCTGCAGCACAGAGGCAGGAGCAGGGACTGGAGACTCCCGGAGGCAGCGGGGGAACTGACACGTCGCACGTCTACTCCCGATCCTGAGGCTCGGCTGAGGTGGAAGGTAGCGGGGAGGGAGACTCAACGTGCACCGGTGGGGAAGCAGTAGCAGGCCGCATCTCTGCACTGGCTACAGTCCCGTCTTCTAGACAGGCAGAGAGGAAAGATTGCAGAATTAGGGGTCCAGGCACCCGACAAGGATCTCTGTTGCCGCTGCATGTAATAAGCCGTGTGTAAGAGTCAGCTGAAATAGGTTGAGTACACTGCGCTTCAGTTCCACGTCTTTATGCCGACAGCCAGACCACACCCTGCCATTTTTTGTGGTTGAAAATTAACATTCCATTACACTACTTTTCTAAAACTGTCAAAATTCAATATGGCGACCTAAAGGCATTCTGTACATAGCTGGTGTATAGAACGCCCCCAGAAATGTTTCCCGCTTCTGTGATTGGAAGATTTTGACAGAAGTCTACACTAATATGCAAGCAAATTTTTCCTTTTTCACTTTATTGCTATTAGAAAGGGGTGCTGACAAACCTATGTGAGCAAAGTGCAGTGACAGGTTCTCTTTAGGAAGATATAAGAAGGGTCTATTGGACCTCTATTGTCACCTCTGCACTTCACTGAAGCTAATGGAGCATCTGCATGTGCTCCATTAGGTCTTCTCCAGCAATGGAGGCTGGGGGAATGACAGCTCTGAATGCAAAAATGGTCCTTCCATGCTTCCTGCTAACACCTGCCATGGCTGCCCAGGACAACCAGGAAAGATAGTTGAGACCAGGTAACATGGGGGTGGTGGAAGGTGGATCAGGGGGTCACAGCACGTTACTGTACATGTTACTGTACATGTGGAAGGGATTCCTTCCACTACAAACTTCAGCCAGGAATTTGTGACAAATCTGTGGTGCTGCCCATGTACGACATACACCAGTGGCAAGTAAAGGGTTAGCTGGATAACATTGTTTGCTAAACTACTGTGTATCAAACAGTTTTTTTTTTGTTTGTTTTTTTTTAGATTAAAAAAAAAAGCTAATAGTTTTACTTTTCCCTCCCCCCATCTCAATGTATTGATTGGGTTTTGATCTACCTTTAAACGTGATCCTACAGACCGGTCTCAGGCAGAGGATCATTCGTAGTCACTCAACTTTTTGCCTTAAAATCAACTTCACACACATTTGCTTATGAGGAGAAACAGAATTAAACAAGACAACTGTCATTGTGCATCACCTTTATGAGGATTTGCATATTTTCCAAGTCCTTTCCATCCCACTTGTCAAAAGGCTCCAAAAGCTGCAGGCGCTGGCTGGTAGGATTCACATCAACACGTTCAGCACTAGCATCCTTGGGTGGGTGCTGGTAAGTGTCCTGACCAGGGTCAAAATTCTGGGGAGATACAAAATCATCGCTATAAATGCATGGTTTTCTGAAAAAAAGCACGACACCTTCAAATAAACTCACAGCACCCTCTTTACTGGGTATAGCAGAACATGAATACAAATAGCCAAACAAATCGTGTGACTAAAAGGAAAATAAAACAGGGTCAATATACCCTAGTTTTCCCCTTTAAAGCTATATTTTACTAAATTTAAGTACGGGTCAGTTATGATGTTTTGATAACACATCATGTCTGTTTTTTGCTTCAATATGTTTAAAGCAGCTTTATATACAAACAAATTTGAAGTCAGTCAAGAGGTTCAGTTCAACCTACATGAGAACGGGGTAAGAAAACTCTGAATGTGAAATAACAGTCTGTGCCAGAGATGCTGGTCACAGTATCCAGCCTGGAGGTCAACTAATAAATCCAGTGAGCAGAGTTTCTGTGGTCAAAAATACATAGAGCTGTCGAAGAGAGTAGCCCACATAGGTAAAGCCAGTGGAAGGTTGACAGCTGTGCAAATAAACATTCTTTACAAGAGCGTTGTATAAAAAGGCATCGCTGATGGAATCTTGAGTAAAGTAGGGTACACACCAGACAATTGATCATTCACCAGGAACCAGCCGAAATTCACACAGTGCGTGCTGCTGCCGGCACCCTGCAGCTGATTGACTGAGCTGGTTGGACAATTCTCAGCTAAAATGGAGCTTGCAGCCAATCAGCCAGCTGCTATAATACAATGCAAACAGTGGGGGGGATTTGTCCAATAACAGTCATAAGCATTTAAAGAATCTGTTCTATTTTTTACTTTAGGTCACAGGTTGAACAAAAAAAATAAACTTGTATACCCAACTTAGGAACTACAGCAGAAAACTATGATAGGCTCTCTCGTCTTTGTAAAGAACAGGTTAATAAGGAGCAGTAGTCATGTGAAACCCAAAATTGAACGATCGAAGAACTAGCAAAATAATTTCCTGGCTGGATTAATCTCAAATTTCTACAGTAACATGTGCCACACCAGATAAACCAAGCAAGGTTCAGAATTTTGGCATCAATTCACAGATCCTCTGTCTTTAAATCAATTTTCCTGGATGATCGTGGCACGATTTTGCAGGGAATGCCATTCTGGTGCACAAAGGCTCATGAAAGCCCAGCTCAAGCTCATATCCGTGTTCCTTTAAGATGGGATTCGATTTTGTACTACTGCAAAGGTGCACAGTTACACGATTTAGATCTAACCTAAAAAAAAACAAAAAAAACTCACAGATTTGGGTAGCTCATCCGCATCTGGTGGCTCTAGCTTAAACTGCTTTCCATCAGCACCAATAAGAAAGTCTCCCTCTGGGTCAAACGTTAAGGTCCCAGCAATTGATAAAGCCGTGACTATCTGCAAATACAAAAGTGAACTTTATGTACAAGGTATAATGCTACACTTGGCTAAAGCAAGACAAAGCTGTGTTCCAACAAGACAATGCACCATGCCACGGTGCTCGTATTGTGCAGGAGTGGTTTCAAGAACATGCTTAGGTGGCCCCCACCTTGCATAGGTGGCCGCCACAATCGCCAGATCTCAATCCAATTGAGCATTTGTGGGATGAAGGTGAAAGAGCCATCAGGCAGCTGGTTCCACAACCATCAAATCTCACAGAAGTGGACAGTGCTATTCATCCGGCATGGTGTCAAATTCCTCGCATCACCTTTCAACATCTCGTGGAGTCAATGCCAAGAAGAATCGCCGTAGTATTGAAGGCAAAAAGGTGGCCCAACAAAGTATTGATGGGGTGGTCATAATAATCTGGCCACTCAGTGTATGTGTATATATAATTACTTGGCTTTTGAAATCTAATAAAGCCCAGCACCTCCTTCAAGCTTTGACTAGTTAAAGCTGAATTCTAGCAAGACACATGTTTGAAAACATATAGGGACTATTTTACTTGCCAAATATTCCAAGTAGTTAAGTAGTGCTCAGCCCAGTCCTCCGGCCCGCGAACCGGTACTATGTGGCCTGCAGCCAGCTGACATGTCAGGCACGCAGTCACAGACCACGTACCTGACTTGCGGGAGAAGCTCCATGGTCTGCATCTGTGTCAGATGCAGAGCTGCTCCTGTCAGCTCTGGCTTCTTTCGGCCGGTGCTCTGACCGTTCGAAAGAAGCCGGAGCTGACAAAGAAAGGATGTATTAGTGAGGTCTGCCGATCACCAGGGATCGATCTTTCTTACAGCCTCCTCCCTGCAAAGACGTGAACAGGTAAGGGGGCTCGCGCGGGGGGGGGGGGGGGTATTTTTTAGGGGGTGGGGGAGTTATTATTTTGTGTGGGGGGATTAATAAGGTGGAAGGGGGAGTGTATTATTTTGTGTGGGGGGATTAATAAGGTGGAAGGGGGAGTGTATTATTTTGTGTGGGGGGATTAATAAGGTGGAAGGGGGAGTGTATTATTTTGTGTGGGGGGATTAATAAGGTGGAAGGGGGAGTGTATTATTTTAATTTTTTTTGTGTGTGGGGGGGTTAATGAGGGAGAAGGGGATTTTATATATATGTATACATACACAGAAATTACATTTTTAAAACCGAAACAGAAAAATAAACAGAATCAAATAAAAAAAAGTCAGGCTGAAACCGAAAACATTTTTTGTACCCTTTTCAAATGTTTAAAGGTCTAAAACAGATTCCTGATCTTTCCCTTTTAAAATAGAAAAAGAGATTGAGGACACCGAGCCCTCAATCTTTCTGCAGCCCCTGTTGTGAATTACCAAGCATTCATTCATAACTTGTGGCAACAGCAGGGGGAATTTATCACAGCAATTGCGAGTGTTTGAACTTGCACGGAATATATTTGCCTTATGGGATCAGAAAGGATTTTTTTTTCCCTTTTGGAGCAAATTGAACCATGCTTTATAGGGGTTTTGTGCCTACCTCTGGTTCAACATTGGGTAATTGTGGGCATAGTGTTCTATTTAGGCTATTCTTTTTTTTTTTCTCCGTATCTCTATAAGTTGAACTCGATGGACTTTTGTCATTTTTCAATCTGCCTAACTATAAGTAACTTTGCGCCAGATTTATGTTGCTAGTGTAATGTTGTTCATAAATCAGGTTAAATAATAGACTCCAGGAAAGAAGACTCTTAACTAACTCCAGGCAAAAAGTTTAACTGTCGCTTCTTGAAGTGGTAATGGGGACTTCAGTTGTTATTGTTTTGTTAGGTGATGCTCCAGTTTCAGACAGCCGCAGAACAAGTGCAGATGTAAACAGTTAAGAAACTTTCATAAAAAACAGGCGCAAAACAGGGGCAATTGGAAAACTAGTCCAAGCTCTGGTCAAAACAGGCACACATGTCAAAAAAGACAGATTGGCACATGAAACAAAAAAAAAAACAAAAAAAAGGGATCCAAGAGGCTAAAACTGCTGCAATTGCTTGGATAAATTCCCCCAGTATGTTTACCATATCCACAATCATGAATGAACAAAAAGTGATGTAGATCACTTCCAATTCAGTTATAATTGGGGACACAGTAAACACTCAGCGTGTACCAGCTCTCCATCTTGATTCGCTGTCACAGGAGGCTGAGCGAGCAGTGCCAGGAGGAGAGCTCTGTCTCATGTGACAGCTGTGGGAAGCCGACTGAAAACCTGCCTTGGAGGATCTCAACGAGGAAGTGGAAAAACGAGAAGGAACAATGATTAAATCGGAGACAGAAAAGACTTCGCAGTCTATACCATTGGCTTCTTCTGCTGAGGAAGACAGGTGCTCTTGCCGTTAGTATTGTCCTATATAAATAGTACCTAGAAACTATATTAAAAAATGTGCCTCAAAGCCTCTGACACAAGAATTCCATGCAGTCCAGCAACTGAAAAAGGGTGTCCACTCAAGAGTACTGACAGGAGGACCATGTGAAAAACAAGGATGCTTTTAGCAGATCAGCACAGCTGAAATTAGAATTACAGCCATTTGTCTACACATACAGACCTGGTCAGACAAAGTACAACCAAACAGGAGACACAAGATGATTTTTGACCTACCGGTACCAGTAAAATCCGTTTCTTGGAGTACAGGACACAGGCAATTTCAGAAACGACTGAGAAGTTTGGGTAGTGTGCAAGTATCAAAAGGTGATTGGACAACATTCAGAGCTGTGAGGACTCTTGTATAACCCCTTCCAGTCCCAGAAATGCTCTTTTTTTTTAGCAAGCAAAGGGGAGGGTAAGATGCAATTTGCAATAGTAATTCAAACATTCTATTTGGACTGATTGTGCAGTATAGACAGATCTAGAGACTACTGGGAAGTCCAAAAGCAATAAAACTAAGGGATGGGCAACACAGCAAACCGACAACAGGCACACAAAAACCAAAGGGGAAAACCCACGGTCAGAGAGCAGCCTGTAGCACCTTACAGACAAAACCAGCATCAGCGAAGGTTTGAACATCCACCTAGTAAAGATTGCTAAATGTATGAACAGAAGACCAGGTAGTGGTCTTACAAATGTGCAGAGCAGATGCCAAATAGCCCAATCTACTAAAGAAGGAAATCCCCTTCTTGAAGGGAGGCAATGACCAACTGTGCCGACACCATTAAGAACTTGTGAATCCAAAGAAACAAAGTAGAGTAAAACCCTTGGAAACTCCTGACGGGACAGGTATGATGACTCCTGATATCAGCAGTTGATGCAACACCCTCTTTCCATGGGTGGAAGAGGGCATATTTGTAAGGCATAAACCAAGATATGGGGGGTAGTAATGAATTTCCAGCTTGTAACCCTGGAAAACGACAAATTGAACCCAACATCCTGTATGCCCTTCTGAACACAAATGGCTGCAAAAGCCAACAGACATCCCTCCATTTATGGAAGTGGGGGTGCCCTGTCATTCAGTGAAGTGCTTGGAGCCAATCTTGGCTGACTTAGGGGGACCAGGCCTTATGACTAAAGGAGCTCTTATTGAACAAGGTTGAGGTAGGCTTACTGGGGAGGAACCTTAGTATTCTTACCCAGCAAGTGGAAAAAATCTTACCCCCAGCTTTTAAAAAAAATTATTTTTCAAAAGCAGCAAGAGCCAAAAGGGTAAAGGATAACACGTCTAACATATGTCGCAATAGGACAAAGTTCATACAAAAAGGATAACAAAAATATCACAGCTTTCTACATTCAGAGCAGATAATCACATTTGTATGAACTCATCCTTCCTGGTCGCAACCAAGAATCTCTCTCCACTCATCAGGCGGAGGACATTAGTTCCGAGAGAGAACCGAGCACTGGTGTATATAGTCATAACAGGGGACTACTAATAAAAACCCACCCAATGGATTTCTGCAATATTTTGTCAAATTGCAAACATAAACTGCTATATGTCAGGCAGAGCAAAGAAAAAAAAGTTAGTGGGTTGAACGCTTCCAAATCCTCTCCAAAAAGACCTCTTCCTGTGAACGGAATCTACTCACTTTTGAACCAAAAGGAGGCACAGTTTAGACAGCTGGGGAAAGGAGTCAGCCAAGCCATCCAGGGAGCTACTGTCAAAGTTCCAAATACCTCAGGAGCGTGGAGTCTGTTGTAGTTGAACCAGGATCCCAAGCTATATGATATTTCCAGACTGTCCGGGTGTGTAACCTCCAATCGAAGCCACCACCAGATACAGGGAAAGTCCAATAAGTGCAAAGGAATGCTTTAACAAGTCTTCAAGGTGTTTCTCCACCATGACTATAAATCTTGGGACATCTTCCACTGCTACACTGAGGAACTTAAAGGTGCAAAATATCAGCATCAACTTCAGCACCGCCTACCTTTAAAAAAATGCTTCATCCTGGGAATAACATAGTACTTATTGCTTTGGAGAAACTAACTAATTAAAAACTTCTATGGATCGCAACTGCAGGAGTGCAATAGTGGTGAGTAACTCAAATGTCCTGTTTAACCCTGGGTTCAAATGAATGGAGATAAAAACTCAAAGGACAGGAGCGCAACTACCAGGAGTGACGTGAACGGAGTGGATCTAGTGGGTCTATGCGAAGGGGGAAGATGGTGGATCTTGACGTGTAAGATCTGGGTGTGTGCCGTACTGTTAAAGCAAACTAACTTACAGTTGGAAGCTTCTCCGTGGTCTGTGCGGCGTGCCCTCATTAGACAGATCCTGGGTCGCCGAGACCCGATGGTGTCCCCGGTGGTATGAGAGGTTGGTCTGTTGGGGGTGCGTGTCAGTGTGGCCGCCCGCGTTCTCAGCTGGCCGGGCCGAGCCGCGTCGGTCAGAAACGAAGACAGAGTGGGAGGAGCTATACCCGGCTGGGGAACGCCGTGCGCCGTGTGACGGGGTGGATCGCCAAGTCTGTGACTGTCGGGTGTCTCCAGTGGCTGCCAAGTGGCTGGCTATGCGTTTCGAGGGTTAACCTCTTTTTCAAGCC